TTCTCCTGAATGCACGGCGAGTTCAGGCCCCTCCCATCAGGATGCAGACACTTTGTGCTAAATGTAAAACTAAGTGTTTTAAAATTAGCTTTGTCCCTGTTGAAATCAGCTTTTTTTTTAATTCAAGCAAACATAACATAATCAGTTAGTCTTTTTTTTACGTATATTCTACTTTGTTTTATTGTTGTTACCTAATTTTATCTCATTTTATCTTTTTATTCTGATATTGTATTTAGAGTTTATTACTGAACACCTGGTCACTTTTTCTATCATGTTGTGTCAATTGTATGTCCATGTCATATATGTCTTGTGCTTTTCTTGGAATAAAACTGACTCCTTTTCACTGTAATCACATTTACCTGTGGGTACAAATAAAGTTGGTTGGTAGATTGATTTGACTGAAATAAATACATAAGAAAAGTAGACCTAAATCACGTGTTTATGTAGTCAACATGCAGTATAATAATAAAACTCTTGAAATTCTGTGTTGGTTTTTGGTGACACCCCAGGATTTTCAATGGCCCCCACATGCCCCACATTAAAACATTACTGCAGGCACCACTGTGCACAAGTAATACCACCTGTCTCTGCTTTTTGATCATCAACCATAAGTTTTTTTTTCTTCTACAAATTTATTCCCTGCTACTAGCATCAAAACAACGAAGGCAGGCAATAAAGTTTTTACACACACCTTTATGTGTCCGTCTAAGATATCTCATGAACCGTTAGACAAATTTTATTGCAAAAAAGTAATCTTTGACTGTAACTTATTGACTTTTTTTTTTAGCAAACTCAACTCAAGGTGATCTTGACTTTTCATGCAACCCGTTGGCCTTAGCAAAAAAATATCTCACAAAATGAAGTTTCCAGGAAAGAATCACTAGATTTTTTTTCTTTTAAATCTAGAACTGATTCAAGATGGCTACAGTATCATGCTAAACCACAACAAAATATGTCACCTTTACAGGTGTTGAGCTAAAAATTTATGTGGTAGTAGCTGAGTGTCGTTCTCAACAAAAGCCCTATCAACAACCATAATTTAGCATTTCTTCTCATGATTTAAATTATTTTAATCTATCTTGGTATGAAAGGTGACATTTCTTAAAGGAAAACTAAGGCTTAAATAGTATTCCAATTGTATTAGTGATCAGTGATTTAGTTCAGTAAAAACACAATTTAAGACACACATCATAGACTAACATCATATGATAAACCGTAGGTCAGGGGTTCTCAAACCTTTTGKGTKTGGGGACCCCTTACAAGGATGAAACAATTGCAGGGACCCCCTCATAAAACCCATGCTGTTTTAAAAATAATTTACTGTCATTTGTACCCCTAAATGCCATGGGAATACTATTTTTGTTTGTTTTAGTATGTTTTACAAGTATATTATCCATATGCCTTTGTTTTTAAAAACCAAACCAAATTAACAATTGACAACTCGTGGACCCCTGGAGGTCCTTCCCAGTTTGAGAACCTTTGCCGTAGGTCACGATCTGACAAGCAAACATCATTGGAAACCTTAAACTCACTGAAAGCAGTCTACTTCATGAAAACTATTTTTTACCTTCAAGTAAAGACCTACWGCTGAAAAATGCTGCAGGACATCTGAAGTTTTAGTTAGAGGCAAACTTAGAAAATAATTACTAACTGGTAACGTTTTCATGATAGGCTCCACATCACGCTTCCCTTCCATCCTTCTTACATAATCCTAGTTTGTTTTTATCACAAAGGGTGAAAAAAAGTTTAAATTACAACAAATCTGGCTTTCCATTTATTTAATACACTAATTGTGTTTTTGGAGATGTTTGGAATACGCCAAGAAAGAGAAGCTACAGGCGTTAAAGTGTCGATCACTCATATAGTGTGTTTTCCATGACAAATTGACTCGCTTACACTTGTAAAGATGTTTTTTTCTATTTGAACTGTGACAAAACAAAAGGCTCTACTCCACCACACCCATCATGGCTGTACATGTGGCAGCTAGTACAGYTGAGTGATCTCATATTGTTTTACTGCTTTCTTTTTGTGGCTCCTAACGTGACAGTTTGGTGATTCATTRGGTCATTTAAGGATTTTCAGTTAGATACTGACGCTGCCCCCTAGTGGCGAGCAAGGGAATCTCAGTTTCACCTCAAACATCATCAGATGCCATTTTGTGTTGTTTTTTTTTTAGAAAGAAAGCCACAGAAGAGTCTGCGTTATTTATTTTTTATTATTGCCCTCATGTTTGTTTGCATCACAGTTTTCAGGTGGAATGCGCATCACTTATTGCAAAAATAAAAAAAAAAGTTATTAAGCTCAAGAAGTGCTTCACATTATGGTTTTACAGCTAAATAACACATTCAAGTCATTTAGTTGCACAGTAGTCTTGTTTAATCTAATTATTCAACAATAAAGATATAGTATATCCATGGTTTGTTAAAGTTTTGCGATCAAAAAAAAAAACATCAAACTTACAAGAACATTTTAAGTTTTAGTTTTTCGCTTCAATTTTAAGACTTAAGAGGAAGGAGTGTGGATTGTTTCAACGCTAATATCAAACAAATCATAATARTTTACAATATATATGTATATATTACATGCAGAGAGTTTCTCTTCAGTTTTAACACTGACAAATGTAACTGGTTGATGACTGTCCTTGTTTTACAGTGTATTTTCAGAGGAGCTGAAACGTAAACCGTTTGGAGTATCTAAGTGTTCTGTGCAGGATGATTGTTTTTTTTTTTTTTTTTTCAAATTTAAACACATTAAAACAATCAAAAACAGAAAGAGACTGGCCCAACAATGAGGTGTTCTGACTTCGTTAAGTCCCAAAGGGGATAAGCAAAACTACTGGTGGATGGAATGCAAGTGACCTGAGGCTGAGTAAGACAAGACTTTTAAGACTTTTCAGCAAAACAACAGCATTCAATGGTAATTTTGTGTGTGCGCGTGTGTGTGTATATATATATATAT